AATGTGTCATTTGCCACCGAGTCTTAAGCTGCCAGAGTTCCCTCAAGATGCATTATCGAACCCACACCGGGGAGAGGCCCTTCCCCTGCAAGATCTGCGGCCAAGCCTTTTCTACCAAGGGCAACTTGAAGACGCACCTTGGGGTCCACCGGACCAACACCGCCGTGAAGATGCAACACTCGTGCCCCATCTGTGAGAAGAAGTTCACCAACGCGGTCATGCTCCAGCAGCACATCCGCATGCACATGGGTGGCCAGATCCCCAACACGCCCCTGCTGGAGAGTCCCTGTGACTTTGTGGGTCCAGAGCCCGCCCTGGGTGGTGAGAACAGTGGCACGGGCACCCTCTGCCACGATGGTGTCGAAAGCATCGACGTAGATGACATCAGCTCCCATGACGTCTCCAGCGGCTCCTCCAAGGTGCCCACGCCACTTGCCAGCACCCACGTGGCTTCGCCCACTCTGGGGTACGCAGTGGTGGCTTCCCAAGAGGCCCTGGGGAAGACGGGGCCTGCCCCTTTGGGCCTGCAGCGCCAGAGCAGCCGAGAGAACGGCTCGGTGGAGAGTGACGGGCTGACCAACGATGACTCCTCCCTCATGGGTGACCAGGAGTACCAGAACCGAAGCCCAGATGCCATGGAAACCATGTCCTTCCAGGCCGTGTCCCCGGCCAATAGCCAAGCGGAAAGCATCAGGTCACGGTCCCCCGATGGCGGGCTCAAAGCCGAGAGCTCCGAGAACAGCCGCACTGAGATGGAAGGTGATAGAGCTTTGGGTTTAACTTCTGTCCATTTTGGCCTCCAGGTCATCTATAAAAAGAGGAACCTGGGTTGAACTTGACCAACGGAGTATCTGAAGCCCTTCTGCAGTAGGGCAGCTAGCTTTTCTGTGCTTCTGGGTAGGACATAATAACTTCCTCTACCCCAGCAAAGAACACTCTTTTCTTTGACTGCACTTTTTTTTTTTTTTTTTTTTGGCGGAACCGGGGATTAAACTCAGGCCCTCCCTCGCGCTTGCCAGGGAAGCGCTTGTTCCACCTAGCCATCTCCCCAACCCCTAAACACGCTTTTCTTAAAGTTTATGGTGGATATAATGGTAAATTAGGTATGGTCACAGTAATGGTTATTGGTTTTTATTTTTGTCCTTGACCCTGGGAGAACAGAGGGGTGATTGTAATTTTCCTCCTCTCTAAGAATTAAGAACTGAGGGGCCAGGGAGGTGGCTCAGTGGAATAAGCGCTTCCCTGGCAAGCGCAGGACCTGAGTTCAATCCCTGGTTCCACAAAAAAAAAAAAAATAATAATAATAATAATAATAATTAGGAACTGAACTCAGGACCTTGTGCTTGCCGGACAGGCGCTTGTGCCACTGAGCTGCTATCTCCCCAGCCAGGTGGTTGTGATTCTGAGTGAATCCCGGTCGTGGCTTTTCAGTCACTAGGGGAGCTGTAGCTCCTTAATTCTGTCGCCCCACCCTCTGAAGGGGTGTTCACAAATTGACCCCCTTACCAAGGGGGAGTTTTAAATGCACGTATCCGTCGTGGGCATCTATTTGGGTCCTTAATCATAAAGTAGAGGAAGAGAGCTGTATTTGCATTAGGAGTATCTGGGCATACTCTAAAGGTAGCTTTTGTTTTTTCCTGTATGAGGGATCAAACTTGCGACCTTGCTTTTGCCAGGCGGTGATTATGCCACTGAGCTCTCTCTCTGGCTCTCTAAAAGTAGCTTTTGATGCAGAAATTTGAACCAGACTTACACGGTGGCTTTTTCTTTAGTGTTGAGCCTATTTTATTGATGCAAATGAGCCTTTCAAAGGGAAGTTGCTTGTAAGGTAGAAATTTCCTGTAAGTAACAGTGAGTGTTTGCAAGGTCTCTTTTGCCTCCAAACATGAAAGGGTGTTGGCTGATACAGGTATGAGTCTCCCCTTCTGCATTCCAGGTCGAAGCAGCCTCCCAGCAGCGTTCATCCGCACACAGCCGACCTACGTCAAGGTTGAAGTTCCCGGCATGTTTGTGGGCCCCTCCGCCCTGTCCCCAGGTATGACCCCTCTGATGGCCACCCAGCCCCGCCGGCAAGCCAAGCAGCACGCCTGCACCCGGTGCGGGAAGAACTTCTCCTCGGCCAGCGCCCTGCAGATCCACGAGCGGACGCACACTGGAGAGAAGCCTTTCGTGTGCAACGTGTGCGGGAGGGCGTTCACCACCAAAGGCAACCTCAAGGTGGGTTCGCCGTGCTTTCTCGGGAAGGCTGGCTGGGGTGGAGCGGCGTCTCTGGAGCTCTGCTCTGGTTTTCCATTGCAGACGAGATAGATGGGCTGGGGCTTCTGGGGCAGTGGTGTAGCACTTGGCCTGGTTTGGGTGAGACTGTGGGTTTGGCCCCTACTACTCGAGAGGGGAGGAAAAGGCTGAGCTGGTGGAGCGTGCTTGCAATCCCAGCACTCAGGAGGCTGAGGCTGATGCTGGAGGACTGCCTTGGGTTTTTGCGGCCAGCTTGAACTGTATAGCAAAACCGTGTCTCAAAAAGACCAGAAGCAGGGGGGCTGGTGAGATGGCTCAGTGGCCTAAAGCACCTACTTTGAACAAGCTTAGCAAAGCACAGGGACCGCGGTTCAATCCCCCAGCACCACATGCCAGCCAGCCCCGCCCCCTGGTGGGCTGAGCTGGCCACACACACACACACACAAATAAATAAAATTAAAAAAAAAAAAAAAAGACCAGAAGCAGGGAGTATGAGATTTGATATACCTACGCCTCCGAAAAACAATTTCAGAAGTTTTTTTCTTTTTTAAATTTTGTTTTTTTAATAGATTTGGTGGCTACAGGATCTTACTACTCAGCTCAGACTCGTAGTGATCCTCCTGTTTTCAGCCTCCCTAGCAATGGGATTACAGGCATGCGCCACCACGCTCAGACTGGCTGGCTCAGCCCACCCTGGGTGCAAAGCTGGCGCAGCATGTGGTGCCAGGGATCGAACCATGGTCCCTGCACTTGCGCATTAGTCCACTGAGCTATCTCGCCGGCCCCAGAGCTCTTGCATGACAACATCTCAAAGTGGGATGAGAGTGTTGTCTATAATGGGTAATGGCTTTGCCTAACCTTAAGGGCACATAAGATAATGCTGCCACCTACAAACGATGGCACCGGGAAGCAGGATATGGTTTGCCTTGTGCTTTTTATTTATTTTCTCAATCCAAGATGGATAATCCCCCCCCCCCCCACGGTTAGAGAGACCCTGATTTCTTGGCACCGTGGTTCAGTAATACAGATCAGTAAGCCTGAGCATGTAGCTTGGTGGTAGAGAACCTGAAGACCACGTGCAGGGCTCTGGGTTCAATTCCCAGTGCCATGCAGAAGATCTAAGCTTCAAAAGTGAAGAGAGATGAAGTATGACCTGGACACACAGAGGATCTGTATTGTATTTGCTGTGTACTTACTGTAAGGTAGCGCTGATCCTGGCCGGACTCGTGTGCCCTGCCAGGCTCGATACAGTCTGGTTTTCACGCTACTTAGTTGAAATAAGTACTATTTGTTAAGTATGTGTGGAATAGAAAGATGGATACAGTATCGCTAGAGGTTTGTTTGAGACAAGGTGTCCGTGTCTAAGACTGGCCTCCAACTCCTGGTGATTTTCCTGCCTCTGACACCCCATCTGCTGGGCTTTACCACTCTGATTTAAAGCAGTGAAGGTCTCTAGGTTATGATGTTTGTTGGGCCAGGCCTTCCACAGGGCAGTCCACAGAGTAATTACTGTTGTTAAGATGCATGGATTTCGCCAAGGGAGGGTTGTGTATGTGAGAACGAACAGCAACGCATGCACGGGTTATGGTGCCATGGATTGAACAAAGGACCTTGTGAAATGGAGAGATGGATGCGAGGCAAGTACCCTTCTAATAGTTTCAGGGTTTGCCAAGTTGAGGCTGTAGGTTCATGTTTGTTGCTGGTTTGAGCAGACACAAGAGCTTTGGACAGCTGCTTGCTGTGTGCTGTGTTTTTTTTTGGGTTTTTTGGCGGAACCGGGGATTGAACTCAGGCCCTTGCATTTGCCAGAGAAGCGCTTATTCCACTGAGCCATCTTCCGGGCCCCCTTGCTGTGTGCTGTGGCTTGGTCTCGCTTCAGTTTGAGTGTAACGCTGAGAAAAAGTTGCTCTGAAGCACATTGTATCGGTGAGGCGGCTGCGACCCTGATACACTTCAGCAGCTGCTCAGGACTGCTTGCCAGTCACCCAGCTCGGAGCTTCTGGGGATGACTGTGAAGGCGAACTGAAGGCTCCTGGCGTGCCTGGCACCTAGCACCAGGGGCTTTTAAACTTACAAGGAAGCTGAAGAGGACAGTCCCACAACACAGCCCAGCTGAAGAAGCAGCAGCGGGTTAGCAGGCTGTCTTTGTTGGAAGAGATTAATTAGATTAGATTAAATTGTATCCACTGGGGCCCAACAAATAACTCAGCAGAAAGGGGAGAGGGGTTCATCCCCAGGCCTGCTGTGCCAACCCCCGTCCCTGGGGCTCAATTTAGACTGGGCGTGGTGGCGTGTGCCTGTGATCCCAGCTATTGGGAGGCTGTAAATAGGCGGATCTCTGTGAGTCCCGATCTAGTAGTGAGACCCTGAACACCCTGTGGACCCTTTCCTAAAATACAAAAAAACAAAACAAAACACACAATTGTATCCACTTCCCACTGTGGCTTTCCCAACAATACTTACTTTTCTTGCTATCCACGATGGCTAGACTTACTTGCTTGGCTTTTTTTGTGTTGTCTTGTTTTTCTGTTTATATTTTGCAATGCTGGAGATAGAGCCCAGGGCCTTACGTGCTCCACACCCTGCCGCTGAGCTCCACACGCAACCCAGTTAGGAAGTATTGCTGATACCAAGCTGTGTGAGAGCAGAAGGTTTTGTTTTAAAAAATGATTCTGGACTGGGGAGTCAGCTCAGCTACTAAGCGCCTGCTGGCAATTGCAAAGTCCTGGAGTTTGATCCAGGTACCAAAAAAGAAAAAGAAAAAAAAAAAATCTTGAAAACAAAATGACTTGCAAGTGAAACTTTTTAATCCAAGTGATTTGTAGACTCATGGCAGGGAGAATAGAGGCATCCTGGTGTATTTCACCTAGTTTGTCATTTTGTAATAGTTGAATAGCTCACTAGGGATTGGGACGTGGGTACAATCTTGTCTTGTTCAGAGTTCATAGTTGTGCACGTATTCCCTACCCCGCTGTGTTAAACTGCACTGTTTCATTGTTTGGAAAAGTCTGTACTGGTTTGAGACAGCATCTCATCATGTGGTTCAGCCTGGCCTTGAATGCCCTTTGTAGCTCAGGCTGGCCTCAAACACAGTGATCCTTCTGCCTCAGCCTCCTGAGTGCTAGGATTACAGGCAAGCGCCACCGTGCCGAATAGGTACCTGTATGTGTTAATTGGAACGATGCCTGGCATGTAGCAGTTGCTTAGAGAGACATACTGCAGATCCTTTATTTTTCTTCCCTTCCACAAGACCAAATGCCTGAATTTTTTATATATAATCTTACTTTCTGAATACGCAAGTATGCTTCAGCCCCTGTGGTTGGGACCCTGCTGGTCTACAGACTTGGGCTTGGGATAATCCGTGGACTTTGCACCTGATCCACATTGCTCTGTCCTGTCCCGGCAGGTCCACTACATGACCCACGGGGCCAATAATAACTCAGCTCGCCGTGGGAGGAAGCTGGCCATCGAGAACACCATGGCTCTGCTGGGGACGGATGGGAAGCGAGCACCAGAAATGTTTCCCAAGGAGATCCTGTCGCCCTCAGTGGGCGTGGACCCCATGGTGTGGAACCAGTACACCAGCATGCTCAATGGCGGGCTGGCCATGAAGACCAATGAGATCTCAGTGATCCAGAGCGGCGGGATCCCCACCCTGCCCGTGTCCCTGGGGGCCAGCTCCGTTGGGAGCAGTGCCACCGCTTCCAAAATGGACAGCTCCCAGTCTGGGGCTGGTGCTGACGCAGAAAAACCAGGCATTGTTACTGACAGCGTTGGCAAACACCAGTTCCCTCACTTTCTGGAAGAAAACAAGATCGCAGTCAGCTGAGCTTACCTTACCAGAGCAGCAAAGGGGCGGAGGGACTGAGGGAACCCAACCCCTCTCCTGTGTCCTTTGTTCTTACTGATATGCAAATGATGTTTACGGTGGTGACCCAATCTGGGCTATTCCTACAATCACAACTGTTGCTATGCTGCTTTGCAAAAAAAAAAGAAAAAGAAAACAAAAATTTTTTTAAAAATTCATACCAAAACAGACTAGATTTTTTTTTTTTTTAAATTTTGGAAAGAAGCGGGTCTTGCAAAAGTAGCTTTCTTACTTGCAACAAGCTATGTATGTAGAAGCTTTGTCCAACCTCGAGTGACTTTTTCCAAAGACTGTTGTCACCTGTGTCAAGGTGCGCCAGTTGGAATTTCCTGAACCACATGGAAGACAACTACTTAGCCTAATTGTGGGGGTGACTTGCTGTGTACTTCCGAGCTAATGCTATGTGGGTGAATGGACAAAGGTCTGTCATCTATTTAGGGGCCAGTTCAATATGACTCCCCCAACCCCTTACCATCTTCTGTTTCCTTTTGTTTGTTGAATGTACTTAAAAGGAAAAAGAAAAACCCAAGTTCGCAGAATTCCTTCAGCCTTAGGACTGTATGTGCATGCCCTGGTGTTGGCGGGCTTTGTTTAGTCCTTAGGGAAACTGTGTGTGTGTGTGTGTCGCTGCTTATTTAAATAAATACAGTCCACCTGGAGCCCCCGGAGTGTGGACAACTCCTCACACTTCGCAGATGCTTGTCTCCCAGGCACCAGGAGAGCCAGGTGCTGGGCTGGAGTTCTCAGGTGACTTGGGGGCACCAGTCCCTGCTCTGTTTTGAAGAACTTTTTCATTCTTGAAACTCACCGAAGACCAAACCTTTGTATCATGAGTTCATATGTTTTGTTTTTTCATTTCCTTGGGCCACTCAAGCCAAGTAGTGATGGAGATGTTCTCCCACCCCTTGCATATTTCATGAAGGCTATGGAGTTGGAACAGGCAAGTCCTGGGTGTAAAAGCTTTAATTTATCTACCTCATTTATTTTTTACTTTTGTAGCCATAGTCTATTTTCCTATTTTATGACCGCTGAAGTATTCCAGGCTCTGTCTTAAACCTAAAGAGTTGACATTGTTGGGAACAGCTGGATGTTCACGATGTCTTTGATTCCTTTTTTTTTTTTTTTTTTTAATCCCCTTCTGTACTTGTAATAATACCGAGCATTTGATAAACCATTGCTCTCGGTGTTTAAGGAGAAAAGACCAGAGGGCTGGGTCGAGGAGTGTCAGAAGCCCCTTGTGGAAATGTGGATCGAGACTGTTACTCCAAGTTTTGTCTCTTATTGCACCTGACTATAGGATCCAAAAAAGTGTTTTGCCACATTGTGCCTTTCCTTCTGGAGATGTAAGAGAACACAATGCTAGTGCCTGTTTACACTGTGAAGTGCATATTGTCACGAGGACACCCCAGTGGCTTTCTCTCTGTTGAGCTAAGAATGCCTTGTGAATGTATGGCCTCCAGAGAGCCCCTGTACTTGTACCTGCTGATGCTGTCTGTCCGTTGGAAAATAAATTTTGAATGTTTTTTTTTTTTTTTTCCCCCATCAAGCGTGTCTGTCTGTTTTTCAGGTGCCTTCTTCTCAGAGCCTGAGAAGCTTGGCTTGGCCGTTGTTTTCATCTGCCTCAGAATAAACCCTCTTTACAAATCAGTAGAGAGAAGCCAGTATCCGGCCCTGTGGTACTTTTGCACATGCTTTAGTTGTCTTTATACGAGACACATCTGTTACTTCGATGCTAAACTTATCAAAGTGGTCTTTTTTTTTTTTCAAAGTGGTCTTTAGAAAGCTTAAGTTCTGGAGCCAGGGAGATGGCTCAGTGGAATAAGTGCTTCCCTGGCAAGCACAAGGCCCCGAGTTCAATCCCTGCTTCTGCCCGGGGTAAAAAAAAAAAGAAAGAAAACTTGTGTGGATGTTTTAGTGGGACCCACTAACCTGTGACACCAAGAGTAAGAAGCACCTTTACTTCTGACCTCAGAAAATTAAGAATTACTTCCTTTTTTAAAAAAAAAATGCAGGGGGCCAGGGAGATGGCTCAGTGGAATAAGCGCTTCCCTGGCAAGCGCAAGGGGCTGAGTTCAATCCCTGGTTCCAGAAAAAAAAGAAAAAATGTTAAGTTGTGCAGCAGATCCTCTGTAGTCCACAGTCCTCATACTTGTATTCCTCCTGCCTCAGCCTCCTGAGTGGGGATTACAGGAATGTGTCCCCATATTTGGCTCCAAGAACTTGTGACCACAGATGATTTCTCATGCTGTGGATGACTGCATGCCTCAGCCTTTCCTAGTCAGGGCTGTGTCACTGGTAGAGAAGTCCCTTCTGCCTAGCACTCTGGGGCTGAGGCAGGAGGATTTTCAAGCCCAGCCTGGGCAGTTCAGTGAGAACCTGTCTGTGAATTCGAAAGGGCTCAGAATGTAGCACATAGCTAAGCTCCTGGGCTTAATCCGCAATAGTTTTATTTATTTTTTGCCCTGTTGAGATCCGGCTCTCACTACACAGTTCAGGCTGGCCTTGAACTCTGTAGCCTAGGCTGACCTGGAACTCGCAATGATCTTCCTGTCTCAGCCTCTCGGGTGCTAGGAGTATAGACGTGCACCACCATGCCAGCCTCCAGTACAGCTTGAAAATAAAGAATAGGAGTAGCTGCTTTATTAACAGTTAACACTGTAGTATTGTGTATACGTGTGATGTTTGGTGCTAAATAAAAGATTTTGCACATGCCAGGTGTGTGCTGCAGAACTGGGTGACATCCCCAGCGGCTGTGCTGTCCTGCCTCAGCCTTTTGGGAATCTGGGATGACAGGAATGAGCGTGGTGTTAAGTTTTTGTTTGGGCTGCAGGGTCGTACCGGGAACCCAACTCCAGGGCCATTTTTTATTTTGGAATAATGTTTTTTTTTTTTTTTTTTTCCCCCCCGTTTCTCGAATGCCTTCAGGGCACTTTTGGCCAGCGGGAGAGTTGTGAGGTTCGAACTCCAGCAACCTGAGGCTGCCAGCTTTGTGGAAGCAGCCACTTAAAGGACTGAGCTAGGGCCAGGCCCCCTTTATTTTGGTATAGGGTCTAAGTGTCTAGGTTGCCCAAACTGTTGTGAAATGTGGGATTCTTTGGCCAGCTTCCCGAGTGCTGGGATGACGGGCATGCGCCAAAGTGTTAACATATGAACATGGAGAATAGTGGCTGGGCAGAGGGACCCAGGGAAGAGCGGTTGGTTGGTTTGGAGAATGACCCTCATTGCCACCTAGAACGTGGAGAAGCCAGCAGCAGGCCCGGTGTGATGACTTTGCATGTGTTGGCTGGCTTTCCAGGCCAGATACATGGCAGTGGGCTGGGGATGCGGCTCAGGGTAAGAGTACCTGCCTGGCATACGTGAGCCCCGGCTTCTTCCTGGCATTGCAAACCGCCCCCAACACCTCCCCAAAGCAAACGAACCATGAGAGCTGCTGTGTACTGAGACTGGCCCGCTGGCCGCGGCCATAAGCCCTGTATCCCAAGCCCTGCTGTGGGCACGTGCTGTGTCACTGAAGCCATCCCACGATGACAACGTCAGTCACACAGATCGTACCTTTCATGCTGGTGGTTCATAAATTTCAAAAGTTGGTGCTTTGAAATATTAAAATTGACAATCCTAGCCAACCTCAAAAAAAAAGAGGGGGTGCTGGGGAGATAGCTCAGGATAAGCACTTGCCTGGCAAGCTCGAGGGCCTGAGTTCAAGCCCCGGTTCCGCAAAAAGACTTAAATCTATGCAGGTAGGTGTGAAAAGGGAGACATTACAACAGATCTGTAGAAATCCAGATCAGTACCTGCTTTGAGAATTTGCGTTCTATAGGAAGAGGGCTGAGGATATAGCTCAGTGGCATAAGAAGCTGCCTGGCAAGCGCAAGGTCCCAATTTTGATCTCCAGTACTGAAAAAAAAAAAAAAAAAGACATTCATACAGACATGAATTACCAAAGCTGAGTCGAGAGGATATAAAAATTATAAATAAAACAATATCACTTGATGAAATTGATTTTCTACCAATGAAGAAAAGCCCAAATCCTGATGAATTCACTGCTGAGTTATACAAGACGTTTAGAGAATTAATACCACTATCTAAGCTCTGAAATGAAATTGGAAAGGGATGGGGCTGGTGAGATGGCTCAGTGGTCTAAAGCACCTACTTAGAACAAGCTTAGCAAAGCACTGGGACCGCGGTTCAATCCCCCAGCACCACATGCCAGCCAGCCCCGCCCCCTGGTGGGCTGAGCTGGACACACACACACACACACACACACACACACATAAATAAATTAAAAATAAAATTAAAATAAAATAGATACTGAGAAGGGAGCAGTACTCCCAAAGTCCTTCCTGGAAGTGAGCATTGCCCTGATAACAAAACCAGTGAAGGATCCAACCAAAACAGAGAGCTCCAGTCTTCCTGATGGACATAGATGGAAACCCCCTCAGTTGGGTGCTGGCCGGCGGAATGCAGTGAATTGTCAAGATGATACACTGTGCCGAGCAGGACTCATCGCAGGAATGCAGGGATGGTTGGGCACATGCAAATCAACAACCGTAACCATGTTAACAGAGCCCAGGACAAGACTGTATGATCAGCTCAATAAATGCAGAAAACGCATTTGACAAAGCCCAACACCCATTCATGATTAAAAAAAAAAAAAAAAACCCTACAGAAAATTGGAACAGACGGTCTTAATCTGATAAAAGACATCTATGACAAACCAACACCTAACGTCATACTAACTGGATGAAACTAAAAGCTTTCACTCTAAAATCAGGGACAAAAGCTGGGCATGGTGGCTCATGCCTGTAATCCCAGCACTCAGGAGGCTGAGGCAGGAAGATTTCTGGGAGTTCAAGACCAGCCTGGGCTACCAATGGAGCTCAAGTCTAGTGTGAACTGCACAGCATGGCCCTATGTCAAAAAGGACGATAAAATCAGGAACAAGACAAGGGTATCACTTTTTT